TACATTATTAATTGAAACCATGTTATAATCCAAAATATCTACCATACTGTGTTGAACTCAATGAATTGGACTTAATTAAGCTAAACACAACAAATATATACAAAACATATTATTACCCAACCTAAAAAAGTTTCTCATTTAGTGCATTATTTATAATTACATTATTATACAATAATAGAGAACTATGTAATATAACTGTAATATAACACATGTGTTACATTACATTGTTAAATAAGGAATTGTCATAGTTACATTGTTAAATGAGGAATTATAACATTGATGTTATATAACTGTAAGTTTGTATTTACAGGAAAAGGATTAAAGAGCAAAAACATATGTATATACATATGTGTATATTTATACAATATGTGAGTGTATGCGTGTACATACAAATACCTAAACATAAATATAAATACCTTCAATAGTTCCTTCTTTTTCCATATCTATTGTTTGTATCTCTTTTTCTTCAATGTCCATTGCTTCTGTCTCTCTTTCATGAAATATTTCCTCAAGGTTCATTAATCTCTCTTCTTCTTCTTCTTCTTCTTCTTCTTCATCCACCATACATGTTTCCTGTGGTACGCACTGTGCACTTGTTAGTTTGCAAGGCGTGTCGTCAATATCTGTGAGAATTGTGGAACTATCTCCTGCAGTATTAGTGCCTGATGCAATGGTGTATCCAGAATGTTTGCCCAATATGTACAACTTGAGTCTATTTCTTAATTCAACTGGGGTTGGATGATCATATCCTCCACCCATCATTCTTAAATAAGAGAACATATTCTCAAGAACATCTTGATTTAATCTGTTGGTTAACAGAAATTGAACTGGACGTGCTTCTGAATATCGCTCTTGTATATATACAAACATATCAGGTAAAGACTTATTGCATAATACAATGCCTTTTTGAAATGGTAACAGATTTACTCGTTTGCCAACTCGCATTGTTTGAATGAAATTATTCATATTATTCAGAATAGTATTTTGTTCCTCTAACTGCATACCATATGCATGTGAGGTGTTATTATGTCCGTACTTATATTTGCTGTTAAACAAGTCAAACCAGTCATTAAATCCTTGTAAGACATCAGCAGTCTGCTTCCATTGTTGAGACTTAATTAAACCTTGTTCGCCACACCAATGTATCGCTTTTGCATTAGTATTTGAAAATACTTGTGCAGCCAGTTTTACATTTTGTCTCTGCGAGCCTTTGACGTCCAAATGTGCTTGGGTTAATTTATGCGCTATTTTTAATTCTCCTATATTAAGTGATAATAATTCTTCCAAACATGTTTTGTCGATATTACTACCGTTAATTGTAAAGCCAGAGTCCAACAAATTATTCCGCGCCAATTTCAACAAATGTGGAACGTCTGCAAAAAAATATATTTTTAGCGAACTATCAGCAGGATGTGTAATAAAATGTTGTTTTTTAATGGTGTCTTGTATATTGTGTCGCCGAGTATTTATGGTAACATTTATTCCTATGTTCAATTCGTTCCATAGCTTCATATTCATGGGCCCCATGTCACTTGTCACAGCCACAACAATATATTGCACTTCGTAAAGCCTGTTAATTATTGTTAATAGAGTATGCGCAGACATAGGCTTATCAAATTCGTAATATATTGGCTGCTTCCATTTATGAAATAATCCTCGAGTCATTACGAATTGACAGGTTTTGTTAGGTCCATACACTTTTTGTTCTTTCCGATGTAAATCTATCTTATTAGAAATATATAATTCGTCAAATGTTAAAACTGTTAATTTGTCCTCTGTCTCTAGATTCTGCCCTTTCTCTTTCATAATGTGGAGCACATCGGTCAAAATACCAGGTGGAATATTAAACGTTGCACTCCAATTATTCAAGGTGGTCATACATGGCAGTGGCATTTTCTTTACGTTCCGTAGATATCGATAGGCCTTTGGACTTATGGCCCGTAAAGCAATAGCAGATGTGATATCTTCAGCAGACCATTTTATGCGAGTATTAGTGTTTGAAGATAATAACATTTTTATTTGTCCAGGGGTAAACACTTTCTGCAACACATGTATAGACACTTTAACATCTTTTGCGTTATTCACGGTCATTTGTGTAATGTTCTCAGATTTTTGGTGCACAGTCTTTGCTAATAGTTCCATCTGTTGTTTCAACTTTTCATTGTCTCCGAGAAGTGTCTGCTTTTCTTGCAATAGTTCATTTTTCTCTTTCAGTAAAATTTCCTTTTCTTTTTTTTCTTTTGTTAACAGCTGCATTAATTTTTCTACGGACATGTTTTCTTTATCTTCCACATTTTCTTCACTTCTATAAAATACAAATATGTGCTTTAATAGCAATATATTATAATATAGACTTATAACATTAAACACTTTAAACATGTAGATATTATGCCATACATTGTGTTTGTCTCTTCTGTTGTTACATCTAATCCAAGAGTATCCATATTTGTCTCTTGTATGGGTCCTTCTTTAACAATTTTATTTGAAAGATTGTCCCCTTGTTTATGCATTTGCTGTTTTTGCTGTGCATATTTCACGAGTTCAGCATAAGTTAGTATATCCGTTTTTACTCTTAAATATTTATATTTATATTATTATATTATTTATTATTATTATTTATTATTATTTATTTATTAGTATTAGTATTTTTTAGTGTTTATTTTTTCCCTGCTTTCTAAGTTAAGATTAAAATGTACATAAGGTAAATATACATGTAGATGTATGTATATATATATATGTATGTATGTAGTATAGTGTGTACCCAGCAAACACCAAAGTAACAGTTACCCAGATAGCAAAATGCTAGAAATATGCCAGCAATTATACATAACATCAATATCAGCAAACACCAGTAACAGTTACATAACATCAATATAAATGTAATATGCATATTACATTATTATATGCATATTACATTTATATTGATGTTATGTAACTGTTACTGGTGTTTGCTGATATTGATGTTATGTATAATTGCTGGCATATTTCTAGCATTTTGCTATCTGGGTAACTGTTACTTTGGTGTTTGCTGGGTACTTACTTTGCTTTCATTTTACTTTTCTTTTCTATATATAACAGTAAACTTGGCACGGAATTATTTTTTAATCTATATAGTTGTTTTGCTGGTAGATTTCGTGCACGTGGTTTTGTCCATTTCATTTCGAAACATTCATCTTCGAAATGCAGATTGCATATTCTTGCTACAAATATATATCGAACATGTAATACGCATGATCTCTAATATTATGTAAGGAATATATACTATCTATTGTTATGTTATTCTCTGAACATTTATTACAGAATTTACGTGTGTTGTATGTCATTATTTGAGATCATATACACATAATAATACATACTTACCAGTATTAATATTTATATCTTTTTCATTTCGTCTACATGCTTTAATCCATTGCTGACGGATGAATTTGTCTTGTGGAAATCGAAATAATGTTGTTTTGTGTGCACTGTCTGTGCGGTTTGTACAATTTATTATACAACACGCTGGCATAATTTAACTTCTTTTCTACAAGTTATGATTCGTATTATATATACTTGACACTGATTGAACGTATATTTTTAAGTAATTCCTATATGCATTAATCGTTTGCATTTCGTATGAAGACATTTAAAGCACATTTGTTTGTTTTAGTTTTTCTTTGTTTTTAAATCGGAAAAATAACATTTTCGATAATTTAACAGATATCATATAAAATGTGTAATAAAACATGTAATAATTAGTATGATAGTAGAAATCAGCAGAAACAACATTTTTGTAGTACGCTTGTATTATTTTAAGTATTTTTACATTATTCTTTCAAATATCTACATTTTAAGTACATTCGACTAATATTTTAGACATATGTGATCGTTTCGTATTCAAATTGCGCGGGTGCATTTGGACCCAATTCTTATTGGTCGAGACATGGACTACTGCGCATACACGATGTTGTTACACCTTTCTTTTTACATCATGTAACAGACTATTATTTTTATTTTTATTTTGACGTAACGTGAAAGATGTCATTTTGGGACAGGTTATGAAAGTATGAAACGAACAAAATGAGTTTCATGCGTTTACATCGTCATTTGTATCATTTGATACGCGTATCAGTTTAGTATGATACTCCTAATTGATATGCTCGTACCAAGTTGATCCGGCAGCGTTTACATCGTGCGTACTTAATTATTTGGTACGAATATAGTACTTGATACGCGTATCAAATACACGATGTAAACTAGGCCTATGTCCCTACATAATACTATTTAAAAGCACTAGAATATTTAATTCTCATTTCAAAAAATGCTATTGTTTCCTCCCCC